TCTTACAGAACACACTTTCTTCATAATGCATCCTTGGACAATTTTATGGTATATTGGACTGTAATATATTTTCTAGCATATTACTGGAAGAGAACAAGAAAAATCTGGTCATTCTGCAGAGTGCTGAGTCTTGTCCTGTCGTTGAGTGCATACACCCTGAGGAGGGCTGGTATGTGACTCAGCGTTGCTGACACGGGCTTTTGCTTCAAACATGGCACGAGGTAAAACTCAAGTGGGTGATGAGAAAAGCAATTCCTATTTAACTGATAATAAAGGTTTTGATAAAGGACTATGTCTAGAGGCTGACTGACTAAAATATCACCACAAGAAAAGACGGCCCATCAGTTAGTAGAACAAATATACAGTCTGAAATTAAAACAAAGAACAAACAGAAACCAACTGAAAAACACCCACACAGGAACATGAAACCAAAGTAAACAGTGAAAGAGACATGGGAACTTTCTTTCTGGAAGCTGCCTTCTCTGACTTTTGTGGGATATCATAGCTAGTCCTCTCCATATCTATTTGTATGCCTAAAAGTTTGCAGAAGTTTCCCAAAAAATTAGGAAGATCATGGAATGTCAGATTTTTGTGTGTATTATTTTATTTTATTCCTAAAGGAAGTCATATGACTCTCATGTCCTACCCGTCTTTTGTTTAATATTGCCCAAAATGTGTGTAAGGGAATTGGGAAAATGAAAAAAACACAAACAAAACAAACCTGCTCCTTGGGAAGGGACAGGAATATATAGACCATGGATTTTCAATAAGAATACAGAAGATATTCAGTGGAGAAGAATAATCTTTTCAACAACACTTGCTGGAAATATTGGATGTCCATATGCAAACAATAAGAAAAAAAGGAACTTGAACCCATGCTTGGCCCCGTATAGTAAACTCAAAGTGATTCTTAGACCATGTAGAATCTAAAGCTACACAAATTCTGAAGGAAGAAATAAGAGAAAAGTCTGTGACGTTGGGTTAAGCCATTATTTCTTAGATAAGACTCCAAAGAGTGATCCTTGAGTGAAAACAATAAATAAATAACCTGACCTTTATGAAAAGGAAGACATTTGGCGTTTTGAGGAACACTATTAAGGGAATGGAAAGAGAAGTCGCAGACTTGAAGAAGATATTTCTATCTAAATTAGGACTTGTATCTAGAATATATAAAGAAATCTCCAAACTCAATAATAAGAAAACAAACAGCCCAATCAATATTGAATAAACGATTTGGGGAGACACTTACAAAAGAAAATACCCATATGGCAAATAAACACTTAAAAGGAATGTTCCATATATATATTTATTCGGGAAATGTAAATTAAAATTGCAATCAGATGCCACGACATACTTATTACAATGTCTAAAATGAAAATGACTGACCACATGAAGTATTGGAGAAGATTTGAAGCAACTGGAATTCTCCTCCACCGTTGACGTAAAATTGTCTTGGCACTTTCAGCTAGGAATTCCACTCATGAGTATCTACCCAAGAGACAGGACAGCACAGTCTTTACAAAGACTTGCCCATGATACGAATCCATCCATATTTGAGTGGACAAAACTGTGATACATCTAGATATTACTACTCAGTGGTAAATGGGAATGTACTATACAAGCCATAGTATAGATAAATATCAAAGTAATTATGCCGAGTGAAAGAAGCCAGAAAACACACACGCACACACACACACACACACACAAAGATTTAATTTTTGTAAAATTCTAGAGAATATCAACTAACGTCTTCTGTCAGAAACTGAAAAGCGCTTTCTCAGGACAGGATAGGGATGGCTGAGACGGACAGGAGAAGGGATTA